CACTGACCAATTCCTCCCCCAGGATCACCAAACCTCCTCTGTTGGACGTGCAGAAAACCCCAGCCTTTGCCTCTCTGGATCCTGTTGCCCTCAGAGCTGAGCTGCCAAGTCTGTTAATCATTCCAAAGCTCCAGCAACACATTTATTTATTTACTCAAGTGGACAATATTATGTTAAGTGCTTTATGGCTTTCTTGAAAGGCTCGATTTATTTATAAACTATTGACAGAGTCAATAAGTTCATAATGGGCCACATGTAAAAATCAATTCCCGTGGAAGCAAAAAAGGAAAAAAAAAAGTCATCACAGCAACAAATTGTGGCCTTTTGAGGAGGTAAGTGGATGTGGTAGAACCACTCAAGGCAATGTTACTTGGTCATTTATGTAGTAAAAAGGAAAACTGTGAGCTAAGGGACAATTTAGGGGAACATACACACACAAATATATATATATATATGTATATATATATATATATAAAATTTGATTGCTCTTACAAAGTTGACACATCACAAAAGCATCAATGCACCATGTAAGGATGGGTCCTTAACCTTCTCATGCAAGGAGAGCTATTAAATTTTGGAGGCTGTTCTTCAAACGATGGCACTTTAGGAAAATACATCCTTAGTGAAAGCACTTGTCTGCAACTTCTCTGCGGGGAGCCCGAGGTTTGGAGAGCAGCAAACCCTCAGGGGGGAAAAAAGAGGTCAAGTGCTGATGTTGGGACCTGAAAAAACAGAGCTCTTGGAAAATGAGGGGTAGGAAACCTGAAAGGCAAACAGGGCAAGACAGCCTGAGGGCACAGGGAAAGAGGGAGGTTTGCTCTCATCTCAGAGGGTCTGGGGGGTACCTGAGGGAATGATTTACTGGAAATCAAGCACAGGGTGGACTCTGAACAGCACAAAAAGACTGGGACAAGGTGAGGCAGGACAGGCAGAGAAAGCCAGGGAGGTGCAGTTATTCTTTGTTGAAATGCTCCTGTTCTCGTGCTAACCAGGGTGAGGAGAAATGGCTTTGGCAGCCTTGCAAAAACCTGATTTGTTTGCCCTGCTACCACATGCCACTGAAAACATGAACCATAAATCCAGGGCGTGACAGGGGCTCTACAGAACGGTTTGTATCATCTGCTGGGGAACAGGAAGGCTGGCTGGGCTGCAAGGGAAGATTTGTCAAAGAATAACAAGAGGAGTCTGCCTTCCTCACCTGGGTGAGGAGGAGTGAGGGTGCCCAGAGCTGGTGAAGCAAGGCCAGACACCACTGGGGCTCAGGGTGCAGAACCAGACACAGAAAACCAAGGTTATTTCACCAAAAAAGAGATGATTTCACAAAGCACTAAAAACCTGAGCTCCACAGCCCTGGTCAGACACTAATCTGTAGTTCACTGCCCCCTCTGCTTTAGTTGGCATCACTCCCTGCTTCCAAGGGATGTCACTGTGATGACAAGCTGCCACTGAGACGTGTGACATTGGCTGGGGGATCTGGACACTCCTTTCCCCTCCAGTTCCAACGAGGCACCCAGAGCGACAACTCAGCTCTGAAACCCTCATCCTGTATGAAGACCTCTTTATAAATCACTAAACAAAGAAGAAATAGGACGCAAACAAAAAAGAAAAGCCCCCAACTGATTTATCTGGTCTCTGGGAATTGAGCACAGCAGCTGTTTTATCAGCAACAGCACCTGCACACAATATTGTCAGGGAAAAAACTGCATCCTGTGAATCGCCTGCCTGACTTAAGGCACTAGTAAAACTCCTCTACACCTTCCTTCTGACAGTAATAATTTTAATTGTTTCCATTATTTCCATCTAATCTCCTTGATAAATGTTTTGAAATTTAAACCCAGCCTGAGGTCCATATGTTATTAAAAAAAAATAAGTGCAAACAGAGAGGGGAGAAGAAAAAAAAAGAAAAAAAGACAAACCCAACAAGCTGCACGGAATTAACAAGCTGAAAGAATTAATTGTAGCATGGGATTTTGGAGGCATCAAACACCCCTCCTTCTCTGTGCTGCTGATTTCAGGGATTTCCAATGCTGGAAGGAAGGTTTTCTTCAATGCACAGCAGGCCATTTGCAATGGTTTATTTAGGCACTATTATTATTATTATTATTATTGTTATTATTATTATTAATAAGCACACCATTACCCCTTACATGGCCATAAGCTCTGTGGATCCCCAGCCAACCTGTGCCCTGCCAGGGAACAGGGAAGGGACAATGAGGAGCTCTGAGCCCAGCTCAGCACCTCCTCAGGAAATTCCCTCCCAGAAGGGCAATTCCCAGAGCAAGAGGGTTCCTGGCTGTGTGGAGACACCAGGAAAACACTTGGATCAGGTGGATATTTTCTGCCAGGGGGTGGAGAACAAGAGGGGGCTCAGCTGCCACGGGGACCCCGTGCAGAGATGATGGATGCGGGGAAGCAAAATGCACCAGACCTGCTCTGCTTCTCTGAGTTTCATTAGGAACTCCTGGAAAATTTGTTGAGCTTCTGCTGCTGACAAAAAGGGTCCCCTGAGCTGGCTGAGGGAGCCTGATAATGAATTTGCACGCAGCAAATTAGCCTGTGGATATTTTTCCATCGGGCTGCTCGCCTCGGCTCCCATGGAAATGCGTCGGGGGCCCAGGAATTCCTCCCCGTTTGCTCCTGCCATCGGGCTGGGAGAGCACTGCTGCCACTATCTGCAGCCATCAGGCTGGAGCAGAGGGGCCATCATCCCAAAATCTGTCCCCTGTGCCCCGGTGCAGTGGGAGCCACAACAACTCCCCTCCATCTAAAGCTCCGCAGAGAGCGGAGCTGAGACACCGCGAGCTGTCGGCTGGGATGTGCTTATTAAATAAAATTAATGCTAAAAGACAGAAACAGAATTCCCCTCTACTGCTGCAGGGCAGGTGTTTAATTCAGCATTTTATCCTATTTTCTCCTCTTTTTTTTTCTTTTTGCCTGAAATATTTTTCCCATCTCCGAGCAGCTCAGTGCTACACAGACTGTCTTTTCCCCTTTCTGATGGTTCTCCCCCCATTTAAAGCCATCTTTTTGTTGCTCCCCTTGACAGCAGTTCACTATGATTTTATCTTTTCTGTTAGGCAGCGATTGCAAAACCTCAGAGGGTTCATTAGGATCTTGATAATCCCTCCAGATTTATGAGTCTAAATTGCTCACTCCCATCTCCAATCCCCATTTAAATATTACTAATTTCCTTAAACATCTCTTCCATCTGCCCAGGTTTTGTCTGATGTCACCTTTCTGCAATGGTCCCTGCCAAAAATCCAGTTAGTTCTGCTAAGGACTGGTCTTTTGGACAAAGTGGTAAAATAACCTGGGTAAACACATTAATATCTTGTGAGAGTGAATGGCAACAGAGCTCATTTCTTTCTCACCTGCCAGAACTGAGTTACACGAGATGAATGGGTTTCAAAGACAAATTTCACCTCAAGCAAATGCTTAAATCACACCCCTGCTCACAACTCGTGTGGGGGTGGAGGTGGGGAGCTTAATTTTAATAGTTATTTCTGTTGTCTGTGAACAGACTCCGCTGTGCTGGTGATGAGCAAACAGAAACCCCTCGCTGTGTGCACAGTCCGTGGCACTCTGACTGCCAGGGGAGGGCAAGGGGAAGAAGAAAAAGTTGGTGGGACCATTTACAAAAGGAAAACTAGTTCCTGGGAGTGGGAAATGACTGGAACGGTTTGGAGCTGAGGCAGGATGTGATGGGGGTGGCACTGTCCCTCACCAACCCTGCCAGCAGCAGCAGCAGCACAGTGACACTGCCTGGGGGGGCAGAAATCACAGCCCCCAGTCTCCATCACTGCCTGGGGGGGCAGAAATCACAGCCCTCAGTCTCCATCACTGCCTGACCTCCTCCAGGTACATCCCTTCCTCCTCCATTCCTGCCCAGTGCTGTTCCATCCCATGGGGGTGAACCGGATCAGTGAAGCTTGTTCTTGCTGGGCTGACGTGGAGAAAGGACCTACAGACCAAACGCTGAGCAGGAACCTGGATCCTCTTTGTTCAGGCAGGAACCTGGTGGCTTTTTTTATATTCTCCCTATCCCCTTTTCCATTCTCTGCCCCAGTTGCTCTCTTGGCTTTCCAACCCCTCCATTTCACTCCTTTCCCCCTCCTCCTCTCCACTCCAGCTCTCCTGCCCACCCGTTTGGCTCCAGCCCTTCCCGTCTGTCTCCCACCCAAACACAAAGCATGATTCAGCTCTCGCCTTTCCTGGCACAGGCACATCCTGGCATAAATATTAATAGAAATTAGAGAATATGACTATCATATGGGGCTGGGAGGCACCTCCACTCAACCCTCCAGCCCATCTCAGGTTTCCATCAGCCCCACACCAGCACTAATAGGCAGGTATGTGGCCTCCTGGTAGCACTTCCCTCACACCACACGGCAACTGCTGCAGCAGGAGAAGTTCCTGTGATGTTTATTTTTGGGTTTCCCCCTGCTGCTGCCTAAGCCCATTACTCCTTGTTTAGCACAGTGCTCTGGGGTTTAACCACACTATCCCCCATTAATGTTATTAGGAGCTATAAAGCCAAACCACCAGGGGCCATGCTGGAGATACACCCACACTGATGGGCTCAGCTTTCCTCTGTCCCACAGAGCAGCTCTCAGAGGCTCAGCAGGAAAGCACAGGGATGTGATGCCCTCTGGATGCTCCTCCCAGGGCAGCCTATGGGGAATGGGGACAGGGGGTGACACTTTTGAATCCTAGGTCAGGAACAACCCATCTGCTGGAGCTTCCCAAGGACCTGCACATCTCACTGCACCACAGTCACAACATCTACAAACCCTGCACCGCATCCATCAGCCTTCACCTCCCAAAGATCAGGACGAGGCTCCCCCTGACTGCTGCTCAGCTTTGCAGGAGGACTCCCCTCCTTGCCTCCTCCCCTCCCTCCCCACCCCAAGCCCGTGGCTCTTCCCACGGGTCAGGGGGATCAGCTCCCATTCCCGGGACTCCGCCCGCGCGCGGGAGGGAAGCCGAGAGCGACGTCTTACCAGATTAGTGAAGATATAGGTGTAATAGGCAGACGCCATCCCCAGCTCAGCTGCCTGTGAAGGAGAGGAAAGGAGATTAAACCAGAGCCTGACAACCTTCAATCTCCACTCCAGCAAGGCACAGCCCGGGCCACGTTTGCTTTTTCATCCTTATCGCTCCGCGCCAGCGCCGCCGCCTTCCCACGGCAGGGACGGCTGGGACACGGCAACACGGCCTGACCCGTGGGATTAAAGGCTGGGGAAGCAATTCTGCAGCAGGGCTGAGCCTACCTGAGGTACCCTCTCAGCACAGGGGCAGAGAGAAATGACCCAACACTGCCCGAGCTGCAGCTCCAGACCCCTGGGATATTCCCTGCTCCCTCCACGGCTGGAATTCAGGGATTTCTGCACGTGGCTCCATCCTGTGGGTGCGCCCAGCCAAGGACAAGATGCCCATTGGAAGCAAAGCTTTTGAACACCCAGCAGACCCTAATGCTCCACACAGACCATGGAAAGGTGAAGAGGGTCCTGAAGCCCCAGAACACCCTAAATTTCTCCACAACACCTTGGGATGAGGAGTTCCATGGTGTGTTTGGAGGGAAAAAAGGGTTTGCTGAGGTTTTCTGCTTTGTCTATGGAAGCTGCTTTGCTCCTGTTCACCTACCAACATATTTGGGAACATAATGAGGGAAAACAGCAGTTGAGAGCTCCAGGCTTGTCTCTTCCACCGCAAAAACAGATGCAGAGAACAAGGCAGGAAAAGCTCTTTTGGGATTACAGGAAAAGGAAAGTCAAGCCACTGGGGTTTTCCCATTTGGGGCTCCAGCCCCACAAATTAATAAGCATTAATGGAACCCAGTAACTCAGCCTGTTCTCCAGAATTTAGACAGGCTTTTGATGCCCACAGAAATAGAAGAAAAGAGGGTAAAAATATATAGGGATGCAGAGAGGACACAGATGTTTCCATGGGGATGATCTCTTCTAGAGATCAGAGACCAGATCACTGAAGTCCTTTTCCACAATTCTCACTAAACAAGTGAGTTAGTTGTGGGAACAGATGCTCAGGAAAGTGAGGCATTAATCTGCAGGTCCTCCTGGAAGCCTGTGTTTCGCTGCCAAGCACAGCTGGTCCCAAATCATGCTTCAAGACCTTGGCAAAGAGGTTTTCCCATCACTCCAAACCACATAAAGGAGCAGGAGACAAAGAGGGAAGGGCCAAAGGCAGCACCTCATGATTTTACTCCCTTTCAAACTCCCCCAGACGCTGAAGGATGGTGACAAGAGAAAGTGAGTGAAAGAAAGGTACCAAGAAGGGATGGCTCAGATTGCACCTCTCCCTGCTCCTGCCCGTCCTTCACCTGTTCCTGTGCAAATCTGAGGCCACCACCACTGCTGGTGGCTCAGGTCTGGCTGTGCCCAGCCCTTTGGCTGCACATTGTCACCCTGTCCCTGGCACAGGTGGCAAAACAAACACAGCAAAGTCACAGGATGAAAAGGGCACCCTGGCTCCGGAGGAGGCTCCCGACAGCTGCCTCGTTTTCAAACCCCCCGCTGTAAAACCTGGCACCAGCTTCCCTCCCTGTCCCCTTGCCAGGGCCAGTGCTGATGTCAGCTCTCCCTCTGACCCACTTTGAAGTCATTGTGGCTGATTTCAAGGGCAGAGAATCAAAGGGAGCAGCAGAGCAGCTCCCGGGAGCGTCGCTCCCATGGCGCTGGCGGGCGGGAGCTGGGACAGGCTGGGAATCCAGGGAGCAGCCACGTGTCTCCAGCCCACATGTGGAGGGCAAGAGATGAGAAACTGTAATTTCTCTCCCTGTGGCGGGCCAGGACTGGTCTCCCAAGACAGAGCTGACATTTCCAAACCAACAGTGCCCTTTTCTTGCTGCTGGCGACCTGTGAGAGGGACGAGGCTGTACCTGCTTGCTCAACACCCACCTCACCCCATATCTGCTTCCACCTCTGTAAGGAAAGGACTTCCCAGCCTCCCAAGGTGCAGAAAGTTGCCAGATCACAAGCTCATTATTTATTACCTTCCACTCCTACAATCCTCTGGCTGGGAAGGCTGGATTAGTTTTTACAGGAAAAAAAAATCGTGGGAATCACTGACATCTTTATCAGTTGTGGCAGAAGGAGCTGGGCAGGGAGACTGTGTGTGCCTGGAGGGAGCTGCTGTGTGCCTGTGGGAAGTCACTATAGCAACAGAGGAGGGGGACAGCCCTCAGCAGCCAGGCAGTAACAGGGACCTGAGCGGGGGGAAAAAGGGAGAAAAAAAAAAAAAAACACACCAAAAAAAATCCCTGCGCAGAGAGACCCAAAAAAAATCCCCCAAACTGTCTATTTAAAAATAAAAAATGACATGCAGCGGAACAAAAAAATCTTTGGGGAGGTGGGGAATAATAAAAACATCCCTTCTGGCTGTCATCAAGGATAAATCTGACACAGTCAAGGCCTCTGGATGACTAATTCCGTGCTAAAGCAGCCAGGACACTGCATGGAATGGCTGCTCCCACAGCCAAGGGGATCCCACGGCTTGGATCCTGCCTCCATTCAGGAATGTGCTTCTTGTACCTCCCAGGATGCGGGAAATTCTACCCAACTTTAGACTCCATCTGGAGCCACTGCTCAGTTTTGAGGCAGACTATCAAAACAAGCTCTAAAAACTGCAGCGAGAGACCATTTAAAAATAAACACGATTAAAATAAAATCTCGGTTAATAAGACAATAACAAAAAAAAAAAAAAGGCAGGAAAAAGTTAGAAACGTAATGGGAGGGGAGAAAAATGAGACACCAGTGCACTGATGGACTAATTTTAGAGGGCTGAGCTGTTTGATGGCAACAGGAGCCACCAGCACACACCCCTTGGAGAAGGCAAACACATCAGCTCAGAGCAATTAAAGCATCACTTCCCCAGACAAGTGTCCTGGAATTAGAGAGCAAATTATTTTCCCCATAAACTCCATCACAGTGGCAATTCCCCTCTCAGCAGAGCCCGTTTCCAGGGATTTTCCCACTCCATCACCATGCAACACGTGGGACCTGGCTCAGGGGGAGCAGCAGCCCCCAGAGCTGGGACAGGGAAGGGACACTCACCTTCTGCAGGATGGTGTGGGACATGGAAGCGTTGGCATGGACAATGATTGTGGCTGTCTTGTCATCCCTGATCTCCTTCAGGAGAGGGGTGGGATCCCGGCTGTCATCCAGCATCCGCACCGAGAGCGTGTCCTTGGAAATGAGGAACTGCCGGAGCAGCTTCTCCAGGTTTAAAAGGCCTTCAAATAAAAGGGAGAAAAGCCTTTAAACGTTCTGTTTGGCTCAGAAAACTCTTCTCCCATGGCCCACAGCCATTCCCAGTAGGATGCAGTCCTGCAGTTCTGTGTCTGTGCAAAGGAAAGGATTTGGGACTCACTGCTTGGCCCAGCAGGGAATGGGAAATGATGGAACTACTCCAGATGTTCTCCAGGAAAAAGAAACCTCACTGCTTGGTCCAGCAGGGAATGGGAAATGATGGAGTTACACCAGCTGTTCTCCAGGAAACAGTGGCCCTAAAGTCCTCTTGAGGAGAGATAAGATTGTTGATACAAATTTTCTCAGGATCCCAGAGTCCAGAGAAGCTCTTCATCATCTCCCTGTATGTGGGATTGTTCTGGTTACAGGAGGATTATTCCTCCTCCTCAAGCATTTCCAGCTCCCAGACTAAGTGGCCTGCAAGGCACAACTTGTTACACTTGGGAGATCCTGGAGCACTCTGCTGGGAAGCTGCTGTCTTCCAAGGGGATGGAAAGCTCTGCTGAGATCAATGCAAAAATACAACATTAATTCCACATTAAAAGACGGGCTGAATTGGCTGTGACTAAAACTGTGAGTCTGGTCCTAGTGTGGGTCAGAATTACCTGTGGGCTGGGGATTCCCAGAGCAACACAGAAGCCAATATAATAATAACACCAACTAACACATTTGGTGCTTTATGGAGAAATGAGGAGAGTTTTAAAGCAGGACAATGTTTGCAGTCCAGGCTCCGTGGCTGGACAAGGTCTCTGGACATCCACCTTCCACTTCCCCACAGTCCTCCTCCTCCCCACAGTCTGCCCTGCCAGCTGCATCTCTGCCTCTCTGTGCCCCCATTGAGCCCCCTGAGTGCTCAGCACCACCCCGGGGCAGTGTCTGGATGGGACCAGCCATGGGAAAGGGGCATGGAAAAGGGTCACCTTGTCTGCAGGACTGGGCTCTCCCTTCAGGTGCAAGCTGGAGACAAAAAGCATTAGTGAACACCCCCTGGATGAGTCCTGACTTCCCTGGACTTGTTCTCCAACGTGTTTTTGGCACTTCTGTCTGAAATTTCCCCCTGCAGCCGGGTCACTGCAAGGGCTCCTTCCAACCCAGCTGCCTTGAAGTCTAATAAGATGTCAAAGCTCCTGCTGCAGCTTTTCTCAGTCAAGACAGCGTATTTGATAGAGTCTGCCTCTTCCACCCAGCTGCTGAGTTTCATCAAGAAATAACCTCCTGTCAAGTTTGATTGACCAGAGGAACCACCAGATGTAATCATTGGCAAGGCACAGACAGCAGGCACGGCCACACACCCCATCCCTGCAGGAATCCAGAAAGGAGGAGGGAACTGAACTGAAGGAAACCAAAAAGAACAGAACTATGAGCAGCATCACACCCCGGCTGGCAGAGAGGCAAACCCACCCTCCTCAAGTCAGGGCTCTGCTCTCAACCTTCCTCACTTCTGGCTGCACAAAGCCCCTCATTCACCAGCAGGTCAAGGGCCAGGAGAGTGACAAAATCGGATGTGATTAGTGCTAGAGCTCTGCTCCCAAGGACTCCCAGCACTTCACAGAGGTAACAAAGCAGTGCAGCTAAAGGGACACATCCAAGATGAGGAGCCTCTCATTCACAGGGAGAATTTTTCAGCACCTTAAGTTTGCTCTGAGCTCCTCACAATGCTCTTGACTTCTTAGCTTTTCTCTGGGTACAGGTAGGAATTCAGCAAAGGACTGAAAAAACAGCCAGGACTGCTCTGGGTCACACCAGCTTCTTTTTCTCTCTCACTGGCCAGCAAATTCACTCTGCATAAAGGACACATGGAGTAGACCTCACCTGAATCCTTTTTTTGTGAGTGCTAGCCCACTTGAACAGGAAATTATTTTACCTAAGCCCTCCATTTGATCCTTGCAGGTTTATTTCCACCTAATTCCACCCCTGCAAGGGACCAGCCAGGTTGCTGCAAGTAACAAAGCTGAGACTCCCAAGTTTACTGACAGCTCATCCCAGCAATATCTACTACTGTGAAACTCATGAAGGTGTTTTCAAAAGCACATCAAGCACAGAGAGGAGGAAGTGGGACCAGAGGGGAGAAAAAAAAAAAGGAATCATTTGATCTCCTCCTCTGACTGGAGGAAATTATCATTTCCAGCACATCAGATCCTACCTGAAGCCTCATCAAGCTTCCTGCTTGCAGCCCCTCTTGCTGTGCTGAGGGAAGTCTCTATTATCTGAAGAGATTTCCCTTTGTTTGATGAGGACTGGAGATGCTGCTGCTGCCAGACTGGCACTTCAGAGGGATGTGAACACGAGCGAGGGCTCGGAGACTCCTCCTGGCAACTCTGAAGTTGTAAAGTGAGGGCCACGGTGCACAGAGAGGCTGCACCAGGCACCTGCTCTTTGAACAGCTCTGTGGGGATCAGCACTGAGCTGCCAGTGGCCCAAACTGGCCACTGGCAAGTCCTGACCTTGCTTATTTTATTTCATTTTTCCTTATGCAAATCTTTGGAGCTGGCAGGAGCAGCCCACCCCCATGCTCTGGGCACACGAGCAGCTTCCTGGGAAGTAGGGTCCCACATCCCTGTTCATTGCTCACTCCTGTTTATTCCTCTTGCCTGTGAGGTTCTGCTGATGGACACCCAGAGCCCCAGCAGTTCTGTTTGGGATGGCAGTCCCTGACACTGATGGTTGGGAAGAGAATGGAGATTCCCCTCATTCAGCCTCACTCTTACACCCAACACCACTGCTCCAGCCATCCCTGAGCAGCCCAGGATGTGCTCAAGGCCCTTGATCTCAGTGCCCTGGTCTTCTCTTTTCAAGCACTGGCTGTTATTCCCTCCCCTCTCTGACAATCAGAGCTGACAGAGCAGCTCCTATGAAATCCGTGCCCCCCTCAATCTGCCTTTTTTGGGTTAAGGTTTTTGTGGAATCACACCAAACCTTCCACATCAGGACTTCAGAGCAATTCACAAACCGGCAGAGAAACTGAGTCACATAATCTCAACTCTATTCACCAAACTGAGTCACATCATCTCATTCTCTTCACCAAACTCAGTCACTTAACCTCATTCTACCCACCAAACTGAGTCATACAACCTCATTCTATTCACCATGGCTGGCCCAAATTCATTGACTTTGAGGGTCATTTTCTGCTCCTGCCAAGGCAAATTGCACTCAGTCCCCAGAGGAAGGATGTGACTCCTTGCAGTGACAGCACGAGCCCCATCACCCAGAGCTGCACTTAAACCAAAACAGCTACAACTTTTCCCTCCTGGGGCCCAAATAAAAACATCCCTCAAAGCAGCATTTCCTCACTGATGAGCACACAGCTCATATGCTCCCCTCAGTTGCCTCAAGGGAACTTTCCAAAAGCCTGAGACGCCTCGAGTTAGTTGTTTAAGGGCTGTGCTCAGGAGCAGTGCATGTCCTAAGGGAAAATGAGGCTTCCTGCTCCTACATGAAGCTTGATTATGTGCTCTCTTACAGCCAGAGCATTCTGTGCTCCAAGCCCAGCTCACATCAGGTCCTTCCTGAGCACAAAAGAGCAGGATCCACAAAAGGCACCCATCCCACTGCTTCCCAGCGACTGGGAAGGACTCAGGTTCTGCAGCTCATCCTAAATATTGAGTTATCCAGTAGTAAAATAAATTGGATTGCTTCGAGTAAATGCATGTTATTGGTTTTGATCCAGTTAAATTAAGAATCTTATTAATCATATTAATACCAACAGGAGGCACCTGCATGTTTTGGCAGAGAGCTGGGGAGGAGGGCAGGGGTGGACGTGTGCTCTGTGCCTGGCAGCACTGGGGGGACAGGGCTCTGAGCCTCCTGCACGGCAGGTGAGAAAACCTAATTATCTTTTCATTCCCCTTCTGCTTAAGGTTAAGGCAGACAATGAAAAATTCCAGCCCTGGAAGTAAATGTGGGAGAGCATGTGCATGATTTTAATTGCATCATTTTGAGTCGGGTCCTTTCCTGGGGTAAATCTGAGCACGTTTACAGAAGGTAATTTACTGACTTCCATCAGCTCAGTATCTGGGCTCCTCAGGGCACGTGAAGCAAAAAGGAAAGGCAGAGACACTCCTGTTCCTCCTGTCCCCGTGCAGAAGTCACCACAGCCCTGCATTACTGGCACAGCTGGTGGGGTGAGGTTTGCCCAGGGCTGGCTGGGAATGGTGCTGCCTTTCCCTCCCACCTTGGCCCAGTCAGAGACCAGTGTCCCCAGAGCTCTCCCTGGTGCCTTTTCAAAGCCTCTCCTCTTCCAGGCTGGTTTGTGCCATGAACTGCAGTGCTGATGAACAGGGCAATAAGAGCAGAATTGCTGTGGCTGCTCCACAGCATCTCCTCGCTGCCCAGTGGCCTCCACAAGCACAGGACCCACTTTGCTCTCAGCACTGGGATGCAGAGCTGCTCCTGCCACGTCAGGAGCTCTGCAGAGGTGAACATGGTCCTGCTGAGGTGAAAGCTCCACCATCCAGATGCACCATGGCCAGCAGATGTAGGGCTGCAGAGCCCAAGAGGCCGTGCAGTGTATTGTCTATTAATCACATCCCGCTTTTAGGCCACAGGCTGCACGTGGGTTTGGGAAAGACATATTTCAAAAAGCTTTACTTGCCTAAAATAATCTCCAGAAACAAGCCTAAGCCTTTTTTTTTTTTCCTTCTAAATTCAAAACCCCATCTGTGGAAGCAAAACACTCTTCAGATTGTCAAACAGAAGGCAGGCAAGTCTCTTCCCATCC